CACACACATACGTATATGTATATATTTAAGTTCTGAGTTTTCATTTCATGCAGAAAATTTTAAGGTAAAATTGTCACATAGAAATGACTGATGGGTAGAAATTTTCTTGAATCATTTACTCGGGCCTTCAGCAGAACAGTCATTCTTGACTCTACACTGTGGAAAGAGAGTGGGAAAATATGAGGATGTATTTTCAAAGGCAGAATGTATCAAAGTTTAACCAAACTCTAATTTTAAAATTACCTTTCAGAATTCCTAAAACCAATATGCCTACCCGCCAAAGATGATATGGATACAGTTTTTACCAACTGCTGGATAACTGGATGGGGCTACAATAAGGAAAAAGGTACAGCCTGACATTTGAACTGTTCTTCCTGAAACCAGTCTTTTGTGTTGTAATACATGGACTAGGTCAGTGCAATCCACTTCAGTCTAAAATTATGCCCAAACTCATAATCATTTCAATGTATTTATCTTTACAAATATGTTCAGTGATTTTATGTATGTTTTTCTTGGCTCTGAAAAAAATCATAAGATAACTTTTAAAGCATCTTGTTTCATAATAGAGATTATTTGCTTGACCTCACATATAGGATGGTGATCCCTGAAGTACCCTGGGCCTACAGAAGCTCATAAATTAATAGTGTCACTATCTCTCTGTAGCATGTTCTCCCTTGATGTTAGTGGTCAGTAGTATAGACCAGGATGTCATCATCTCTCTTTAGGGCCAGTTCAGAATATATTGTATGTACCCTTCTTTCAATCTAATAAAGCTTATAAATGATTTCTCTAATGTTGCTTTTCAATGCTTAAATAAAAACTCTAAGATTATAAATAAAACTAATGTAGACTTAGATATCAAAATATATTTAAAATATGATATAGTTCCTTATGTGCTTATTTATTGATATATTAAATAACAAGCTTAAAATACCTGTCATTTTTGAAATGATGAGAATAAGTATTTTAAGGTATCTGCAAACTTATGATGTGATATAAAAATATCTGTGATCTTATGCTGCTAATAGTACTCTGTTTGAGGCTACACTTATCTTTGAATAAGGTGTTAGACTTCAGTTGGAATTTAATGAAAATAGAGATGTATTTTTTTTCTACTTTCTTTTATGGGCCATTTGATTTCCTGCAGACCCTAGCTTAAGAACTCCTGCTTATAGTTACTCATATTATTTCAATTTCCCCTGAAGTGTTCCAGAACAGACTATTCTTCCTTTCCAAGATTAAGTTCTGGATAAACACCACAGAAAATACTTGCATTGTTCATTACAAAAAGGAGTAGCTGACCAAACTCTCTCCACTTGTCCTGAATTGGCTCTATATTTAACAAGTTCAAAATTTTCACATTTTGACTAGTACTTCTGAGACAGGAAAAAAGTGAAAATTGTCTTATCTAAACAAAGAAAATTTCAAACACATATCAAGGGGGACCTTAACATTGGCAGAAATTATCTGTGAATAAATTGTTCTTCAAGAAAACTGCTCAAAGAAAAAAATGTTCCTTTGTTGTCAAATGTTTGGGGCTTATATTAAAAAATGATATATTTGTATACTGTAATGTTGAGTATATAAAACAAAACAGGGAAAGATAAGAATGTCTAGGCTTTTGTATTGTAGACAATAAAAAAATTTCTGAAGGATTTTTTTGAGACAAGGAAGGCAAAGAATATGGAAGTCTCTGGTTAGACTGAGTTATGGAACTGCAATAATGCATGAACTAGCATAAAAGCCATCTAATCCCAGCTACTAGGGAGAAGAAGATCTCAAGTTCAAGGCCAGCCTGAGCAACTTAGCGTGACTTTACCTCAAAATATATTAAAAGAACTGAAGCTTTGGGGAGGGTTGGCTGTAGCTCAGTGGTAGAGCTTTTGCCTGGCACTCACTAGGCTCTGGATTCAATCCCTAGCACTGCAGAGAGAGAGAGAGAGAGAGAGAGAGAGAAACAGAGACAGAGACAGAGACAGAGACAGACAGAGAGACAGAGAGACAGAAACAGAGACAGAGAGATCTGATAGCTCTTCCTTTCACTGGCTCAGTGACTACTTTTTTGGCACTTACTGCTTGTTTTATTAAAAATTGCAACTCTAATGCCAAGACCATCCTGATGTACTTGAAAACTTAGATTGATTTTCATACTTAATTTATTTCCTTCTTTTAAAGTTATATATTGGTTACTTCATAGGTGAAATCCAAAATATCCTACAAAAAGTAAATATTCCTTTGGTAACAAGTGAAGAATGCCAAAAAAAGTATAAAGATTATGTCATAACCAAGCAAATGATCTGTGCTGGCTACAAAGAAGGGGGTAAAGATGCTTGTAAGGTAACACATCAAATTATGCTAATATACACAACAGTTCATTTGAGATAATTCTCTTTATTTTTTTCTTTTTAATTTTATTTGTTTATTTGTGTGTGTGTGTGTGTGTGTGTGTGTGTGTGTGTGTGTGTGTGTGTGTCCAGCTCAGTACACCAGGCGGGGCTGGCTGGCATGTGGTGCTGGGGGATTGAACTGCGGTCCCTGTGCTTTGCTAAGTTTATTCTAAGTAGGTGCTTGAGACTACTGAGCCATCTCACCAGCCCTGAGATAATTCTCTTTAGAACTTATCTTCCAATAGTGTATTTTATTAAAGTACTTTTGAAATTCAGGGACAAATACATAAAATTTACATTATAGAGTACTAATGGGTTCTTATGAAACAATCTATACATATGCTATATATTGAGGTATAATTGAATTTATAATGATTATACTAAAACATAAGCATATTAAATTTTTTAATTTCGAGATAAAAGGACTGGCAAGATAGCTCAGCAGACTAAGTGCTTGCTTTGGCAAGTGGAGAGCTCAGGGTTCGACCACTGGCACCACATGCCACTCCAGCCCCGCCTCCTAGGCACACTGAGCCGGTGATGGTGTCCAGGCATGGTGGTTCATGCCTATAATCCCAGCACTAGGAAGGATGAAAACAGGAGGATCACTACAAGACCGAGCTGTAGTGAGACCCTAAACAAAAAAAATTTTAAAAACCTAAAAAAACTGAGATAAAACTGTCAAATTGATTAGATTTTCCTGAAAATAGAAGAGGAAATAAACTGAGAAAGCAACCACACATTCATTTTCATTACACATCCAGCATCCTATAAGGAACCAAACAAAATTAACAAGCTGTGGTGTGTGTGTGTGTGTGTGTGTGTGTGTGTGTGTGTGTGTACTGTTTGAAGTGTAACTGCAGAACTTTAAAAGCAATTATTTACTTGAATCACCTCATTTGTGTTTTCTACTCACCTGACACAGGGAGACTCTGGTGGCCCCTTAGTCTGTAAACACAATGGAGTATGGCGACTGGTGGGCATCACCAGTTGGGGTGAAGGCTGTGCCCGGAAGGAACAGCCAGGTGTCTACACGAAAGTTGCTGGATATGTGGACTGGATTTTAGAGAAGACACGGAAAGGTGATGGGAAGGAGCTGATGGCATCACCAGCGTGAGGAGGCTGCAGGTGCAGGAAAGCCCAGATGACAGCCCTAGTTCACCATCTGGGTTCAAGTCATACAGGGCAACTTCAGTTCTTGCCTGTGAAATCTGGAGAATGGATATGCCTTGAACCCTTGTAGGGATAAAGAGTTGGCACACAGCTGCTGAGGACAAAGAATTGCCAAGGCATGCTGTAAGTATTCAGAAACCAGGAGCTCCTAATGAGAAATAGCTGAAGAGCTTCCGTTCTGTGTGTTGTAAAATAAAATGGAAAAAGAGCATGACTAGAAGTATGTCCATCTGGTTATGAAACAAAACTGAACACAAGTGACTCTGGATTCTAGCAGTGTTCCCTGGAACCTAACTTTGCCTGCTTTACTTAGGGTGAGAAGTTAAGAAGCTTGAGTTTTGTTCCGCCCAGTGAAAGAAAGAACTCTAATATTCTCTTTTACAATAAAAAGGTGGATTTCCTGAACTTGGGATGATAGGACACGTGTTCAATTGAGCCACTTACATGTGTTCCTGAGAATTGGATCAAGGGTCCAGGCTGAGTGTGTAGCAGATACATATAGGGCTGCACTTTTCTGGTTGAAGCTCCTGCAGTCAATTCGCTGCAGAGCCTTCATGGAGAGTGAGGAATCTGCTTCATGAAGACCATTAACCCAAGAAGCTCAGTGGATGTTGAGTTGTGCAACAGTAACTCAAATCTATTGCTAGGTGTAAAGTACTGCATCAAATTTTGAATTGTAAACTCTTATAGGTAGTAGTTGTTACTCTTGGAATGGAAGACCTCAATGTGTGTGATACACATTCAGAACTTGTCAGTGATCATCACAGTTGATCACAGATAGTTTGATTCAGGGCAGTTAAGTTGATTAACACATACCTAAGATCTTCCAATTATAAAAAATTGTGTAAGTTGAGTAGAAAAATAAGAAGTAAAGATTTATAAATGATTACATTTTCTTTCCATCTGCCAAGATACTTTGAGTGGTAGAAAGGAATAAAGATGGCAGAGGCAGAAGGAAAACCAGAAAGTCTTGGTTCCCATTGTCCATGCCACTAAAAACTGAGGAGGTCAGAATTATTTCAGAGGCAATGGCTTTCATAAAACCTGGATAAATTGTATGAATTGTTTTTTTAAACACATAATTTCAATGTTTACTATTGTAATAAAGATATTAGTCTTACTATGTGTGGAAGTTGTTTTGTACTTAAAGGAAAAAAAATTATTTTTTTGGTGGATCTTGGGATTTTAGTACTGATAATTTTATCAAGTATTAGACAGGACTTTGGAGTACTTAAAATTAACTGACATTTGTTGATCAGCTAATGTCTTCATTTGGAGAAAACAAGAGAGTTTTGACAGGTGGTACTTTCCTGCAACATAAACTATCATTTTAAAGTGGTTAATTAGAATGCAGCAGTACTGGAATTTTTGTTTTTTTATTTTCCATCATCTTTCATGGTATGACAGAGGAGTCATTCACACAGTAGAGCTCCACAGGACCAAGAAGTACATAAGCAGCTAAGAAAGCAGGAGGTAAAAATGACTTCACCTTCACAAGGAAGAGTAGAGGTGGCAGGCATGGATCTATGGCAGGACCGTTCCAGAAAAGATGGCTGTGGTGCAGTCCTGGGTATAAGACAGTTGGAGACCACCATGGGGGTGTGGGGCAGGTTCATTGCTGGCCTTAATTCAGGACCTGTTAGCCATTAAAGTCATGACACATAACTCTCCCTTGCTCTCTCACTCACCCAATCTTATCAAATTCGTAAGAGACCCTTTAGAATGCTTTTATAAGTCTCTGGCTGCTGCCCTAAACCTGCAGTGGTCACTTTGGATTCCAGCAGAGTCTCTGCAGAATTGAAGCTACCCTCACCCTGAAAGCAGAAGCGAATCATCCCAGCTGAACCTACTTGCCTCTCAAGTTATGCCAGCTTCCTTAGCACTACAGAGCCAGAACTGAGACAATAACAGACCTACCACAGCTACACAATGTCTTAAAAGCTGGTTCCTTTCCTTTATTAATAGGCCAGTCTGAGTTTCTTGAGTTTGTTTCAATATGATGAACACATTTCACACCTATGATCCTAATTTCTGACTTACATCTGGTTCTTTTCGACTGAATTTTAGTTTCTTCCTGAAATTTTGTCTAATAATCCCCTAATTTGATTGGGCTTAAAAATATTTGTGTCACTGGAAAAAAATCTTTACCTTTAAGATAAAATAAATATAAAAAAATTTAAATTGCAACAAATTAATTGAAGTTTTTCAATGAGCTACTTTCTCTTTGCAAAGTTTATTTTAAGAATTTCTATGCAATTAAGACTACTATTTATACTTTGATTGAATAGACAAAAAATATTCCAGAATTCTTATCCTATTTCAAACACCTTACACAATTTTCTTCTATTTAAATCAAATTTAGGAAATATTATCTGGTTTCTCAGTGCAGTGTTTCTCTAACTTAAAGTCTTTCTATTTCTCCCAGTAGAGTTGGAGGTTGTCATTATCTTTTTACTGAGGCCAGAGAAGAGAGATGGGGTTTCAGGATGTAAACAGCACAGAAGAGTGAAGACCTTACATAAGCTTACATATCAGTTTTCCATGAAAGTTTTGGCACAAATTTTTTTTATTGTGTATTTAAGCCTCATAGAGATCAGGTAGCTACCTAGGCACTTTTGTGTGACAGGCACATTTTTAATCTTAAATGGGAAACTCAAGACAGTAACTAAGAACTTCTTATGCCAACATGAGTAACAATACATTGGCAATGGATCAAATAAAAACATCTGAGTAGCTGCCTTCCAGTAGAAAAGAACAAAGAAGCAGCTGGTCATGTCCAGACTCCTCAGTTCAGCACCTCGCACATTTGCCCTTCTTCCTTGTGGAGCAAAAGGCTGGTTTCTCACTTCTTTTGAAAAATGCTCCTAACGGTTTATATGGGACTCAGTTTCCTGTTTATCTTCACTTTGTTAACTGTGGTTTCATTGTTCCCTGGTAGGTTTTCTTTTTTGCCCTTGTGTATTTCTTTCAGTATGAGATTTCGACAAGGCTCTCCAATGTTTCTCATTCTGAGTCATTTTGTCACTGAGCCTTTGGGCACTTGGGCATGGGCACCCTACAGCTTCAGAACAATTCAGAGTGTCCATGACAACATTGCTGTGATCTATGGGAAATGAGATTGTCTCTCCTGTCTCCAAACATTGAAATGACCAACTGGTGGCATTTTCCTAGGTTCAGAAGATCACAATCACATTAGCATATTGTCCCTGAACAAAGTACAGTGTTTCCTTTGGGACATACAATGTCAGCAAGATCTGTTAAAATGGACACATTTATACTTTCTGTTCTGGGATTCTGAATATTTTTCAAAAATATTCCTTTTGTTCATTCTAGTTCTTATATACCTTTTCCATGGAAAACTAGGAGCCCTCTCTGAATCATAAAATTATTTTCCTTTAAAATTTAGTTAAATCAGACATATTGAAAACTTTTTGTTGTTTTGATTGTCAGGGAACCAACCACACACATAGCCTTAGGAATGGTTAGTGTCTAGTAATATAAGCAAGGCTCTAGATATGAAGGAATGTGGCCAGTGTACATACATAGCTGGTTTACACTGCTGTTAACTAATTTGTGCTCAAGTGACATGAGGAGAAAACTAAATAGGTCTCAACAGAGAGCAGGGTTATCTGGCTCTCAAACTCAGCTACATGAACTCAAAAAAATATTTCACCAACAAAGTGCACAAACCTTACTCTTGCCAAACTTCCACGGTACAGGCCCCCTCAGCCTTCAGTGAACCAAGCAGTTGCTTCACTACTTGACTTGCAGCAGCTAGATGTGTTACTTTCTAGATCTTTATTTGTGTCTTAATGCCCTGAGATCTAAAAACATTAGGAGAAGGGCTGGGGATGTAGCTCAGTGGGAGAACACTTGCCTGGTATATACAAGGTCTTGGGCCCATCCCAGAACTGCCACAACATAAACAGAAATAAATAAAAAATGACAAATAAAAATCTATGAAAGCCTTATAATATTAGACAAAAATATTAGAATGTAATTTTCACAAGTGGGCTCATAAAATGCATGCCTCCTTGAAGGTAACCGTATCTGTATAAGCTTCTGAAAATGTAACACCATACCAAGGAAAACTAACTCTGTAAGAGTCGCAGACTGGTCATCTGTACTTTTCTTTTAGTCTAGCAGCCAGTTGCCGACAACTGAAGTCTCCTCCTTCTACTATACTGCAAATTAATAAGTGCAGCAGGCTTTCCTTTTTTATTTTTTGGTAGACTTTGGCATTGAAGTTAGGCTAGAATTAATGGTTAACGACTGGGGTTTGGGGGTGTGTTCCCATGAAGCTTTGGCTAACAGGGATACAAATGTGAGTTTTCCCAAATGCCAACATATACAGGGAAATTCAAATTCTCTAGCTGTCTCTATGTGCGTCACTTGTACAAATATACAATTAAAAGAAAATAAATTAAGTGTATGAAAAAGCTAACAACACCACTAAAGCACTAATGTGTAAAAATCTTAAGGACTTTTTCAGATATGCAGTACAAAGAGACAATGTTCCATGACACTGGAAATCGATAAAAGTAAATATTAAAGTTAAGTGAATGTTACCTACCCAAGCTTTTTTTTTTAGGGGGGAGTGGGTACAGGGGATTGAACTCACAACCTTATGTCTGCCAGGCAGGTGCTGTGCTGCGGAGCTATATCCCCAGCTCCACAAGTTTCTTTAGAAAACAATGAAAACCGTCTTGGAAGACACATGTGCGTAGTGAGAATTGCAGCTAATAAACAAGCAAGGTATTTTCAGGTATGTTTTCGGAAATTATTTTGAGTTTCTCTCAAGCACTTATGCTTTGAAATGCTTTTCTTTCTATGAAGAGACATTAAAAAATTTACAGTATAGAATGATTGACATTTGCAATGTGTCTAATTTACTGTTTTAAAGACTTTTAGACAACATTTATGCTTGAAACAGGAAGGAGAATTAAAGCAGAACTGTACTTTGTGCTGAATTATAGGTATTTTGTAAGTTAAAAAATATTCAAGGGCAATGTTGTAAAATCAAGACTTTTCTTCTTGCTGATAAATTAGGTTGTTTAGTTTTGTTTTTGTACAGCAACCTACTTAGTGCTTAGTGAGGATAAATACATTTATATGTGACTAAGAGAATCTATTAATGTACATACAACAGATTTTTTAAAATAAAGAGTAGAAAATCATTTCAAGCTCTTTGGTAGGTAAAGAGACCATAAATATGGAAAGAAAGGAAATGAGTTGGAAGAGAAAATAATGATGAAACACTGAGGTAGGAGCCGGGCCGGAAGATGGTGACAGAAGATTCCATTATTAGGGAGATGGAGGCAGAGCAGGAAAAGGACGCAAGGGAGGGGACTCCGCCCTGTCAGTTCAGGCTTCTGCAGAAGAGTGACCGTGCCAATACCACACACACAGCAACGCGAGGGACGTGCTAGGGGTTTTGAATATAAAATTCAGCACTATAAAAGTAACTCTGAGAACACCATCCAATTACCCCCCTTTCCTTCTTATCCCTCCCTAGTCCCTGTCAATTCTGATGTCAATAATGGAATTGTCAGTTTACATTTTATGTTCTAAAAGCAGGCATGTTTTCTCTTTGTAGGATGTCCTTACTATGTCTAGCGGTGGGTTTCATTTTGTTTGCCTCAGTTTCTGGCGGTAAGTAGAACCTTTGGAGTGCATGCACCAGAGGTAGCTGAGCTTCATGATCTGTAGAGTGGAAAACAGGAGTCGACACAGGGAACTCAAACTATGGCCCACGCACATAGACGAATCCTGTGCCATCTATGCCAGATGAGAAATAAGTTTTATTTATTTTCCACTTAAGCCATTAGGTATTTTAAAAGCAAGGAAGAAAACTGACATTTATTGCATTTAATTTCTGATGCTGTTGCTAACATTTTAACCATAAATAATTTTTCACTGACACATGTGAAAATATCAAACCTATGTAGATATTTAAAACATAATAAATTGCATATAATGCTTTAAATGATATAGTTTATAATTTCACTGTCTTTGTGGCACAGTTATTTAGGTCTTGCCATTATTTCAAAATTGTATTGTCATTTCATTGATAAACATGTTGATACTAACTCAACTGAAGTATTTTGTACACTGGTTTTAAAAATTGCCTCCTCTCTCTCTCTCTCTCTCTCTCTCTCTATATATATATATATATATATATATATATATATATATATGCATTAATTAAAAAATGATCATGTACAAGACTCTAAAAGAATTCACGACAAAATTTAAAAGGTGAAAATTATACAGAACATAAATTCGACTAAATATTCACTAAAAGATAAGTGGAAATTTCAAAGTGTCTGAAAAGCTGGTTCAGTGTATCATTTTCACAAATATAGGTCAGAGATCATAATAGAAATTTTATTTTAATTAAAATAAAATACCAGAATTTGGTGATGTAGCTAAATCAAGGCTAAGAGCAAATGTGTTTACATATACACATTAGAATAGCAGAAAGATAAAAATTGATGATAAGAGTACAACTCAAGAAAGTAAAAAGACTCTAGAAAATTAAATGCAAAGAAATAGAATGCGGAAATAAAAACTACAGAAAATAGTAGAAGTAAGCTGAATGGAAAACAATATAGACCAGAAGCGAATATGGTCCTGCTCTCCAATAGACTTTACAATGTGACTTCATAATCTGGCAAGGACTTTCTGAGAAAGAATAAACTCTCATGTATTTTTTCCTTATTAGAATATATACACAGAGCACAAGTGAAATATTAATAAACTTAACCCGACAGTTTGTTGAAGAAAAATAAAAGGATGATTAAATTGTAACAGTGCACCAAAGTTCAGTTACTTCCAGAAATGAAATAAGCTTAATATTCAAAGTGGGAGAGATGTACCACTTTTGGTGAATACTAAAGGAAGTAAAAGCAGAGACTCACACAGATTTTTGAATTTCTGAGTTCATTGCTGTAGTAAAAACATTAGCCAAAAGGTGGATGCATGTAGGCTTTTGAGGACACTTATCCGAAGCATAGCACAACTCAAGCATTTATCAACAGATTAATAGAAAAACAAAATGAAATACATATACACAATGGAATGATAGTTAACCTTTAAAAAAGAAAAAAAATTCTGGCATAAGATACAACATGGATGAACCTAATGGACATCCTGCTAGTGAAGTAAGCCAGTCACCATCACAAAAACTGAGGTCGGCGAGATAGCTCAGTGGACTAAGGCTCCTGTTTAGGCAAGTTCAGGAAAGTGCAGGGTCCGCAGTTCCATCCCCGGCACCGCATGCTGCACCATCCCTGGCCCCAGGGCTAGCTGAGCTGGCATTCGAGTCTCTGCGTGGTGGTGCAAGCCTATGATCCCAGCACTGGGAGGCTGAAAGCAGGAGGATCACCACGAGTCTGAGCTATGTAGTGAGACGCTGCAACAACCAAGTACATTTTTAAAAAGACAAATACTATCTGATTCCATGTAAATAACATGCTTAGAGAAGCCAGCTTCAGAGAAATGGAAAGCAGCATAGAAGCTGCCAGTAGCACACGGATTGGAAGAACGAGATTGTAGTGTAATGGGTACAGAGTGTCACTTGGAGAAGTTGAAAGTTCTAGCGATGGGTGGAGGTGACAGTCGAACATCAGTGTAAGTGTGCATATTGCTGCAAACTGCACACTGCAAAAAGGTTTTAATGGTGAAAGATTTTAATCTTTATTTTTATTAGCACACGTTCGCAGTACATAATGATTCATGGTGGGAAACTCTCACACAAATATACCTTAATTCTGTTTTTCATTCTTTTCTTTTCTTTTTTTCTTTTTTCTTTTTTGTTGGCGGAACCGGGGATTGAACTCAGGCCCTTGTGCTTGCCAGGGGAGCACATATTCCACTGAGCTATCTCTCTGGCCCCCATTATTTTTTTTTTTTTTTTTTTTTTTTTTTTTGGTGTTTTTCATTCTTTTATCCTCCCTCTCTACCAGTCTATCTCTACATTATCTATATTCTACCACATTAAGATTTAGATAACTTAATAAATTCATATATGCAGAAAATATATGACAAGATTTTATTCATAATAAAAACTCTTAAAAATGTAGACAGGAGGGAGCATTACTCATCAACTAATAAGTAACTCAATATAAACATACAAAAATTCAAATCAAAAAGCTTTCGAAAACTTAATACTTAATGGTTAATTATTGAAACCTTTTCTAAGAGATTGAGAATAAGAAAAGACTAGTCCCTGTTAATTTTGTTAAACATTGTGCTGGATGTCCCTGTTAGCACAGCAAAGAAAGGAAAAGAAATAAAAGCTAAAGGATTAGTAAAAAACAAACTCTTATTGTCTACAGATAATATAGTGATGTAAGTAGAAAAATCCAAAATAGCCAACACAATTTATTTTAGTCAGATTAGCATGAAGTCTAAGTATGAATTCAATGAGCAAGAAGCAAAAAACAAAAATCAAAACACCAAATTTTACTATTGCTAGAACTGTTTACATTTCTAATTTTTATTTATTTATTT